AGGACGGATTCATGGAAACAACATTCCTTGAGTTGTTTCATGTTCATAAATGTTTGTTACTGTCCTAAATTCTTAAAATGATGCCTTGGCAAGACATGAGTTATTATAGGTGGGCACCAGCACACCCAGATTTCCAGTGTGATTTTTATTCCACATGAGTGGGTTTTTTTCTCCACAACTGCAAAAAGTTCCTTTTCTTATTTTTATTAAATCATTTTTGGTACTAGGGATTGAACCCAGGGATGCTTTACCACTGAGCTACATTCCCAGTTCTTTTTATTTTTTATTTTGAGACAGGGTCTCTTTAAGTTGTTGAGGCTGGCCCTGAACTTGAGATTCTCCTGCCTCCACTTCCCAAGACACTGGAGTTACAGGTATGTGCTTCCACATCCAGCTCTTTTCTTGTTTTTAAAACCTAAGCATTTTATAAGACTACATCTCAATATTAACCATTCTGGGTTGACTTCCCAGATTCAGAGTTTGCCTTTCAATATCTAGATTTAAACCTTTAATGTTGTGTGTTCTTGCAGTTCTAAAAGTTGTTCTAGTCCATTGTTTTGGTTTATATTTTTATTTTAGTAAAACAAATTTCGTCATTTTAACCATTTTTAAGTTTACAATTCAGTTGCAGTAAGTATATTCACAGTGCTGTCTAACCATTACCACTATGCATGGATTTACATTTGGGGAATTGTAGAGGGCTCTCTTTAACCTTTCTTCTCTTGACTCTAAAAATGTTTAATTTTCTTCACTGTTTTCCACTTCTCATTTGTGCCTTTTATAATGTATTCATTCTTGTTTATGACATTAGATAGCCTATAAATGTTGTGAAAAACAGGTAAGGAGTGCTCAGAATCTGGAGTGCTGATCTGGGCCACCAGAGTAAAATAAACTTTTTGTTTCTCTCACTCTTTTTAAGTGTCCTTGGCAGCTTCTTGCCTGATTCCCACAACACTATTACCACTTGCAAGGACTTATCCCCTAGCACAATAGACTTGATTTTTCAGTTTAGGCCTGTGGTGAAGGGCAGGATGTAAATCAGCCATGTTGGTTCACAGTCTGGGTCTGCATGATGAGGTGGGCTGAGCAGGAAACAGGAGTGGGGGCGGGGGGTGGAGCTAACAGCTGTGTGTCGCACAGCCATCTGTCAGCTTGTGCTTTTACACAGGAAAGAGAGTATTGGACCCAGGGGGTGCTTAATCACTGAGTTACATATACCCTTAGCCTTTTTATACATTTATTTTGAGATAGGGTCTTTCTAAATTGCTGAGGTTGGTCTTGAACTTGCAATCCTGCTGCCTCAGTCTCCTGAGCTGCTTGAATTACAGGTATAGGCCCAGCTAAACTTTATTCTTTAATGTCACAATTACTTTTTCAGTTTATCATAGTAGCCAAATATCTATTATTACTATTTTATTTTTTGATACTCAGGATTGAATATCCAGGGGTACTTTATCACTGAGCTGCATCCCCAGTCCTTTTTATTTGAGACTGGGCTTCGCTAAATTGCTGAAGTTGCTCTCAAAGTCACTGGGATCACAGGCATGTGCCATCTGCCTGGCTTATTATTTGCAGTACTGAGGATTGAACACAGGGAGCTCTACCACTGAGCTACATTCCTAACCCTTTTAATTTTGAGCCAGGGTCCTGTTAAATAACTCAGGTTGGTAATCCTATCTCAAGACTCTCCAGGAGCCAGAATTACAGTTTTATTCCAGTGTCTGGCTCAAACCTGTACATTAACTAATACAAAGTCCAAGCTGAGGAATATTGGCTTTGTCAAGAATACAATGGCATATAAAATGTACAGAAGGCTGGGATTGTGGTTCAGTGGCAGAGTGCTTGCCTAGCATGTGTGAGGCATTGGGTTCAATTATCAGCACCGCATATAAATAAATAAAATAAAAGGTCCACTGACAACTGAAAAAAAAAAAAAGTAAAAATTTAGAGTGGCTTCATTTCAGCACTGGCAGTGAGAATAGAAAGATGAATAGGAAAGGTATTTTGGAGTTATCCAGTTGGGCAAAAGGGAGAAGTAAGAATTTGGTTTTAAATTTGAGCCACATGGAAGATTCCTAGACCAATAATCAGGATAGAGAACATAGGAAGAGTTGTATACAAATTGAGTAGATCTATCAAAAGGCCATGAGAAATGTCTGAAGTGTTTGGAGAGAAAATCTGCCATAGACTTGGGTTCATTTGCATTCAAATAATAATTTAAGGATTAGAGATTACAAAGGGGAGAAATTACAGGTTTACCTAGAAAAGGATCCCTCCATCCTTTAAAAAAAGCCAAACAGCTGGGATGTAGCTCAGTGGTAAAGTTATTGCCTAGCACATACAGGGCTCTGGATTTATTCCCAGGACTGAAAGAAAAGAAAAAAAAAAAAAAAAGCCCACTTACATAGTACTTTAAAATTTTTCCCATTAAGTGAAACAATCTGAATGTTCCACTGTTTGTCTAAAATAGTCAGTGATTGACGGAAATCCTCATGATGCAGGCATTCACTTAGTTTTATCCATTATCACAAACTACAGTGGTCATTTTGACTTTTACAATATTTTTTAAGGCTGAGAATGCAGCTCAGTGATAAAGTACCTCTGGGTTTAATCACCAGTATCAAGAGATAAATAAATAAAAATAATTTTTAAGAGTCTGGTGTGTAGCTCAGTAGTATATACTGTGTACTGCATTTTTAGTACCAATACCTAACACCAAAATAAACAAATTTTTTAAAATGATGATTGTACATAATTTGGTTTTTCAGTGATCGAATATATTTAAATGTATATTTGTCTACTTTTTTTTTTTGCAGTGCTGGGGATCAAACCCTCATGAGAAGTGCTCATAATCACCATAAAGTCTTAACTCATAATTATAAAAATGCCAAAGGCAAAACTTCCAAAACAGGTTCCATAAGCAGTTTATTGACTTTATTATATTGAATCACATAAACATTATAATATACAATCTGTCAGACTACACTACATTCACTTAAAAGGTGTTATAATTTTTTTAACTAAATAGTGCTTTACTAGACAATGGGAAAATCTAAATTTGTACATTCAATGGTATAGCACTGGAAAATCATATCTACCTTATCAATCTAAGTGAAAACTGATTTTACTTAATCATTTAACATAGTTCATACAAAACGCCATTAAAAAAATTTCTAAAGATCTTCAGATTATTGTGAAATCCTGAAACAGAAAAATGATCATAAACTTGTCCTTAATATTGTGTGTGTGAAGTGGAAGTTACAAATAAATTTAGTCCAAACAGAAAGTCAAGTTTTCCAAAAAGGTTAAAAAATTGTTTTTCAGTTAGGCTTAAAAAATGAATATCCATATTTCTCAATCACTGTACTTTTTAATTCAACAATATATGGTCTAATATGCATTCACAACAGGTGAATGAGATACCAATGTTTTAGAATACATTTGCTGACTTCGGATTACATTTCCTTCTTTTTTTTTTTTTTTTTTTTTTTTGCTGCTGGGCATCCAATCCAAGACCTCCAGCATGCCAAGCAGGTAGTGGTTGCATCACTGAAGTGCATCCCCAACCCCTATGATGTTTTTCATTCATTTTTCTCCAACTTGATAATATTAACTTATAATAATATAATATTAACCCATTCTGTTCCATCATTCCCGATGTGGAACAGTTTAAAAAAAAAAAACTTAAAATTGCTTGACAAATATACCATTTATGATAACTTTGTAACAATTGTTTGCTGAATTGAAAACTTGGGACTTAATGTGTTAACATGTTCTTTAGCCATCGACACAAAATTACTGATATTTGAATTATTGCAACTTAGGTTTTATAAGGTTCATGAATTCAAACACAAAATTAATTTAGAGTGTCAACTACTTTTTTGTTGTTGTTGTTCCTGCAAAATGCCTACATCATGTACGGTAGACTTAATAGGGTCATCAGTTAACCTTGAATAACTGAACACTAAACTGGAAGCAGATATCTTTCTCCACTTTCTTTTCATGCACTTTAAACAGCTAAAGTTAATCACAAAAATATTGCTCTTTTGTCGGCTTGGTTCAGATCCAATAATTTTTTTTTTCCTCAAACGAAAATACCAGGTGTTTTCTCTACGTAAAAACTTAAAAGAAAGAAAGAAAACGAGGTAATTCTCCTTTTTTTTTTTCCCCCTCCCAACCCCAAAGAACTCGGAAGGTGCTTTCCCCTACAAATGCCTCCTCCTGCTCCATGACTAAGCAACCAAGCATGGCCCAGCAAATGCAAAGATTTATAACTCAAGAACACCTTGAAACCGGGGAAACAAAGATTTGAAAAAATTCTTCTTTCAGTTTCCCTGTTTCTGCAAAGACTACCACTTTTAGCTTAAACAAAACAAAACAAAAAGGCTGCAGGAATGCTGGTTGCACGCTAATCAATTTTTATGTAAACGCAGAACCTGACTTTCCCTAATACAAAGGACGGCCTCAGACAAATAGCAACTCCTAAGAACAGCGGTTTAGCAGCCACTGAGGCAAACAACAAAAAAAATGAAGGGTTCTTTTTCGAATTTGAGAACAGCTGGTGAGGCATCTCCCTCTTTGCCCTTCCATTAGCAGCTTTTTTGGTTTCTGAATCCTGCAGTCCATCAGCCAGCCTCCTTTACCAATAAAGGGGGTCGAACGGTCAGAATCTTTTCTGATCAGACTGCTGAGAAACAGCTCTAGGAAACCAAGAATTCAAAGTAGAGGCACGACAACCCCACTAAACCCAACAACGACCAACAAACCAAAGCTTGGTATCACCACAGCCACCACCATGCTCACTTCCCCTAGCCCGGGATGAAACTCGATCCAAGAAACCTGTGCTTTCAAGAAAGAAGGCGCCAAGTTTCTTCCCTCAGGTCCCTCCTCTCTCCCGTCTCTTCCCCCAGAACTCTTCTACAAGGACAGCTGCTAAATAAGCTTTCAACCACCCCAAAGCCCATTTCTAGCCACACACAAGATGGCAGCCTCACACATACCGAAGGAAACAGCTGCGCCACCACTCCAGCGATCCTGGCCTTTAGACTACGGGTAACTCCATTGGCCGGTCCAGGAAGCGCGAGACAAGACCAGAGCTCTGGCAGCCAATCAGGAGGCGGCGCGCTCGGGAAGCCGCCGCCTAGCCGGTGTGCTCAGCGAGCGAAGCTGCTGAGGTGTAGACCCGGTGGGGAGTGCGACCAATGGGCTCCGGGCCAGGTGGTGGAATGCTTTTGGTTTCCGACTCCTCCCAGTTAGTGATCGCTGTAGCATGGCTTGGATGTTAGAGGTTGCGCGCTTGCCCCTCCCGGGCGGAGGTGAAGTGTAATAAACGGTGAAGTACTTCCTGGCCATAGGGCACCTGAAGCCGCGTAGTCTCCGCGACGAGAAATTGGAGAACCTGATCCGCAGGCGAATCCAGCCTAGCTAACGGAGCAGGCGGTGCGCCACCCTCCGGTTTGGCGGGCGGCTTGGAAAACGCAGAGGAGTCGGTGTAGCTGTGGCACGGCAGTGGGTAGCTCCCTGACGGTTCCTGCAAAAAACGTCCTGGAGCCCTCCGCCGTTTGAGCAGAGGTTGCATGCCAGCCAGTGCACTCTCCCTTTCCTTTGCACCCACGTGCAGTCCCGGACTGGAGAAGGGACAGCGGTTGCTTTGAGTTCTCAACCCCTATTTCATTCTATCTTACGGTGCACAACTTAATGAGAGGTGATTCCTGATCAGCTGGGAACCCGAGGATCTAAAAGGGGCCATAGGAAATGATCTACAGTATAAAATCCAGAAGCAGAACTTGAAGGATTAACTACTGACCCATTTCCCAGGTAAGATGACACAGCCTTAAATAAGTGAAGTCATTTTATCCAATACCACGGAGTTTATATTAGATCCTAGGAGCTCCTGATTTCAGTAGCCATAATAAATAAAAACAGCACGGAACAGTATTTAATTTGCCGCTCTTTACCGTGTGGAACTCTGCAGTGAGTTCTGCATATATGAAGGAAGGAGCCCAAGCAAAGAGGGCTAACTTTGAGGCGGTAGAGTAAACAAAACATGGGCTCTTGATACCAGGCTGTCTGGTTCCCTAATTATGTGCCACTTACAATGTGACATCCTAAGCTTCCTCATCCAGAAAAGAAAAACGTTCCCAACACGTGATTCATACTCAAATGTCTTTACCATCCTCATAATTAAAATAGGGAACCAAGAGGAATGGTCACATTGTGTTATCCTTTTAAAAACGGAAAGGAACTATACATTGAAGCAAAGGAGACCTGACTTAATTTTTCTTCAAAAATGAAAAAGTGACAAGAAAAAAAGGGAACAAATTTTAAAATCCCAGTTATCCTGAAATGTTAGCATCGTCTGTCTCTGGAGGATAAATTTGTGAGTGATTTAAATTTTTTTGTTTATGATTTCCTGCATCTTGCTAATATTTTTCAGTAAGGGTTTTGTAAATTGACTTATCTTCAAATTTTAGGAAGGTGTGAACTGCACTGGAGAGAGCTTTTTTTTAAAAGCTCCTAGTGTACTTAGGTGGAAATATAAGTTGGTAGGCTCTTTCTAGAAGGCAGTGCAGTAACACACTAAAATAGATGATTCCTTTCTGAAAATGGTACACTTGAGTACACTTTTACATTCTCCCTTGACAAAATTAGAACCTTAACAGATAAAGAGCTAGATCCAGAATCCCTGAATGCTTTTACTCCCCTGCCCTTCATCGCACTTAAGACTGGTACAGAGCCTTCAAATCTTTTTATATGTAGTTTAGTCTCTGAAGTCACATATATGTATTTAATGGAATCATTCTGCAACTTATTTCTTCTCTCCAAAATGTTTTTGCCGCACATACACGTTATTCATTGTTCATGTTATTTAGAAATCATTTATTATACCTGTTGCGTAGTACTCCAGTGTAAGTCTGAGTTGTTCTGTTAATGTAAAATCTTTCTGCTTCTTTTAGTGGTTTTCACGTTAAATTCTATTTTGTTTGATATGTGCTTTGTTCTCTTAATGGACTTTAGGTTGTTTGCAGTTTTTCACATTAACATTGCTGCAGGGAATGTCTTTGTGTTTTGTTATGCAGATGTTTTATTTCTGAAGGATATACACCTAAAAATGTAATTATTTGGTTTTAAGTTATGAACATAGTTTTAGTAGGTCCTACCAAGTTTGCTCCAAAATGTCTTTACTAATTTACGCATTCAACAATAGTTTGAGAGTTCAGTTTCCCTACAGTCTAGACCAACCCCCAAATAATATCTTAATTTTTGCACATCTGAAGACTCAAAATGACTCTTAATTTTCCTTCTCTAACTTGATGTTGGAATAGCTATTCATGTTTATTAACTTATATAATTTATATCAATTACTGTACTTTATTTTAAAAACTACCTGATTTTCTATAGGATGACCTTAATGATTTAAGGAATTCTTTATATGTCCTGAACACTGTGTACTTTTTTTTTTCTTTAATATGAGAGAATTTTTATTTTGTTTTATTTTTTTAGTTTTCGGCGGACACAACATCCTTGTTTGTATGTGGTGCTGAGGATCGAACCCGGGCCGCACACATGCCAGGCGAGCGTGCTACCGCTTGAGCCACACCCCCAGCCCACCTTTTTTTTTTTTTTAAACAAGAGAAGAGTCTTGTTGTGTTACCCATGCTTTTTTAAACAAGCAGGGGTCTTGTTGTGTTACCCATGCTGGCCAGTTTACGTGATCCTGACTTAACCTGCCAAGTAGCTGGGACTGCAGGCATGTATTATCACACCTGATTGATATCCTATATAATTTTTTTAAAAGTTTTTCTACCAGGTTTTGATAGTCTATATCAAATTAAGGAGGTTATCTTTTATTCCTAGTTTGCTATGCACCCTCACTCTCCCCAAGTGATTGACTCCCTATCTCCACTTCCTTGCCATGTACTAGGACTGAAACCAGGGTTGTTCTACCATTGTACTATGTCCCTAGTTCTTTTTATTTTTCTGTTTTGAGGCAAGGTCTAATTAAATTGCTGAGGCTGGCCTCAGACTTGAAATCCTCCTGAGTGCATGGGATTACAGTCATGTGCCAACCATGCCAGGCTTCAAAGTCATTAATTTTTGTTGAAAATTTTTCCTTTGTTTTTTATCTAAGACCACAGTTTTCCTCCATTTATCTGTTAATGTAAGAATTTGAACTGATAACTTTTCCAGTGTTAAAATTCTTGAGTATTCCTGAGTCTTACTCTAATATTACTATACTGCTGGATACCTTTATTTAACATTTTTAAATTTATACCCAGAAGTGATTTGGGCCTTGAGTTTTTTTCCTACAATTCAGATTATACTAATTTCATAAAAAGAGTTGAATATCTTCCTGTATTTTTCCTACTTTGAAACAGTTTGTATAGAATAGAAAATTACATTCCTTGAAAGCTTTGTACAGTTCATCTACAACTTCATGGACCTGCTATATTGGGAATGAGGGGATGGGACTGTGTGGCCTGCAACTCTGGTTAGATCTTTATTGGTTATTTTGTTTGTTTGTTTGAATTGTTGTTTTACTGTGCCCACAGCCCAAGATCTTTATTGTTTTCATTTCTTTTTATGCTTATTTATCTAGATGGTATTTTACTTCTTGAGCCCATTTGGATTTTTTTGTGGGGCTTTTATTGTTTGTTTGTTTGTTTCTTGGTACCAGGAATTGAATCCAGGGGTTCTTAATCACTGAGCCACATCTTTGCCCTTTTTTATATTTTATAATTTGAGACAGGGTCTTGCTAAGTTGCTGAGCGCCTCAATAAATTGCTATGGCTTGCTTTGAACTCATGATCTTCCTGCCTCAGCCTCCTGAGCTGTTGGGATTACAGGTGTGCACTATTGTGCCTGGCTTGAGCCCATTTGGTATTTTATATTTTCCTCGAAAATTTCAGTTCACATGTGTATTGCTATAATGTTGTTTGAACTTTAGCATGTTTAAAAATCTTTTTAGTGTATACACAGATATATCTTTCATTTATTGTTTATTTTGTTTGTCTTTTCTCAGCTTCAATTTAACTATTATGTGAATAATTTTAATTTTCTCATTTTCTAATGAAAAAACTCATTTAAGGCTTAACTATTTCTCTATGTTGTTCTGACAGAACCCTTTCTTCAGGTTTGATATGTATTATTTCAACTGATCTCCATTTCTCAATATTTAAAATTTTTTGAATATTGATATTTTTTAAAGCTTTGCTGTCCTCTGTAAACAATAAGTTATTTGGAAATTTGTTTTTTATAAATTTCAGACGAGATCCGGCGCGTTCAGGTGGTATGGCCGTAGACATGTTTTTTATAAATTTCAAGAGATAGTGTAAGGTAGAGCTTAACTTAATGTTGTTAATTTTGATTTTTACTTATATTCAGTGACAGATCTATGTCACATAATTCTTTTGGAATTTGTTGAGAACTTCTTTTGGTATCAAAGATCTTGGCTAGAAATAGAATTATGAGTTCGTACCTACTTTCCTTTAACATTTTGTATTTGGTTTATCTGGCGAGAAGTCTCATTACCAATCTTATACATGTTCCTTTTAGATAATGTAGATTTTTCTTAAAATTTCTAATACTGCCTTTATTATGTATATTCTAAAACTTACTACAGATTGTTTACTGGTTTATATTAGATTGTGTCGTAGTTAGCACTCAGTGGACTCGGTGGTCCTATTTGTATTTCAGTTCTGAGAATTTCTTAGTCAATATTGTCTCATGTACATTCTCTCTGTTTTGTATTTCCTCTTGTTTCTTTGCTCTGGGTTTTCCATAAACTGCTCAGTTCAGGCTTTCAGATTACTAATTAGCTGTTCATGTGAGTTTGTTCTCTTATTCAGCCATCTATTAAATTTGTTTTAGCAATTGTTTTTGTGTCTTAGATTTCTAATTGGTTAGTTTTCAAAACTATGTTAATTCATGGATGAGGTTTTCTTCTTTAGTTCTTTGAGGATATTAAATATAATCACATTTGTTTTAAAATTATTTTCAGTATTCTGTATTAATTCTTGTATAATGAGCTTGTGAAGTCTCATTTTTATGGGATAGCCTTCTTCAGATGTTTGAAGATTCTTACTTGAGCACTTATCTGTCCTGAGAAGTTTCTTGCG